CATACTGCAGAAACAATAGCAGTGCCTATAACAATGATAAAGCGTTTTAGGGTGAAACTCTCTCTCAAAAGACCACATTTCTTTATGTCCATGTTTTGTACTGAGTGAAAGTGAACCTGGCTGTTGCTGAAATAACAAAGCCTGTGTGTGTTTTAGTTTCTTCAGTTCCAATGGAGGAACGTTAACGTTTCAGAAGTGTATGCTGATAGATTTCAGTAATCTGATGCGGATAACGTGGCTGAAGAGCAAGTTTAACAACTATGTAAATCCTGTCCGTGCAGGATACTGCATCGTTCCCTTCACTGGATGTCTGACTGCCTGCAAACTACAACTGGCCTATTGTTGACTGAGAGCTTGACTCTTTGGGAGTAGTAACCTCAGTGATAAAAGGTAACACTGAGCAGCTTTTGCATTTATATCTTTGGTCACTGTACTGTTCTAAAAACTAGTGACAGAGTGGACAGGGGTAATCCCCTAGGGCTGCAACTAGCAACTGTTTTCATAATTGATAAACCTATATCTTTTTAATCCATTAGTTTTTTGCTCCATACAATGTCTGAAAATTGTGAAAAATGTTGATTGGTGTACATCAATGCCCAAGGTCATGTCCTCAAATGTCTGGTTTTGTCCAGAACTCAAAGATACTCAGATTACTGTCATAGAGGATCATTATTACATTTAAGAAGCCAGAATAAGAGAATTTGGGTATTTTCTTCTTACAAAATGACTAATGACATAATGATTAATCAATTATCAACATAGATGGTGATTAGTTTAATAGTTGACAATTAATCGCTTAATCAAGTAATCGTTGCAGCTCTATAATCCACATGGGTCATAATGCTGCTCACATGGGCCCAACAGAACTAACCTACAGGTTGTGGTCTCTACAGTGCAGATCAAATGAAACTGTATATTTACAGTGAAGACAAAGTCAGAAATGTTTACAGAGGTTAAAATTTAAAATTTGATAATATAATGAATAATTTCCACTGAAGAGTTTGTGACAATATCTTGTAATGTTCTGCTTGCTTTCCTCATTTCCCCAAATGATAAACTAGTTAGCTCACGAGTGAAACAGGTGTTTGTTATGCTAGCCAAGTTACCTGATAACATTAGAATAACCTTAGCTACCTAGCTAAATAAATGTACTAACTACTAGTAACTAACTACGTTAGCTACTTCTGTAGCTCTATGGTTGTCATAAGGGATATTAAACCCCACTCAAATTCTAGGTAATGAGGAGAAGGCCTGGAGAAGCTCAAAGAAGCATTTCCATGGAGCATTTTAATAAGCACACAGTTTGTGGCTCCCGTCCACAGCTACGTTTACCAAGCCCAGGAAGGATGCACAGAGCGCGAGGGTGACCATCCAGCGCCCGCACGCTCCAGATCCGCCCCTTCCTCCGCCGACCACTTCCACCCGGTCGCCGCATCCCGCTTTCGTCGTCCTCTTCACCGCCTTCAGCGCACTCTTCAGCCCTCTCCCGGTGTCCTTCCTCTTGTCAAACAAGGTGTCCTCCTCCTGGTCGTCGTTGTCGTCGTCGTCCTCCATGCTGGCGAAACGAACGTGCTTCTTTTTAACGACGGTGTCCCGTGCGGCGGACGAAGACATACCTGTCGGTTGATTACTACGACTGCAGCCGGCGGTGTCGAGCTGTCACAATATTAATGAAGGGGGAGTAAACAGCGACTGTCAACTGCTAGTGCTTTGGTTGGCTTCTTGCCGCGTCCGCGCTTCCTGTTTGAAGGTTTCTCTGGGTTCAATCTATAGGACGAAGTCAGTCATCATCCAAACAGCTGCTGGCTGAGAGAGTGACAGCGGGGAACCTCTGCTGCAGCCGCGGAATCCCTCCATATGCCAACAGTGAATGTATGGCTGCTGGACGTTTGCGAAGATCGTCTATTCACGAAGACGTTCACTCGGTGTATAAAAAGCGACCCACCTTCCCATATCTCTTTCCTCAAGGTTGGCAGAAGCATATGAATATTAATGTATATTTATGAATGAATCAGTCATACATTAACTGGAGCAGGCTTTACTTGCTCCTTGTTTGTTGGGCTGTTTCTTTTCTATCTACCGCAGATCTATGTGGATTTAGTTACAGAGCTTTTGTTTAGTATTTCCTGTATCTCATCAGCATTGTGAGATCTTCACCACTAGCCCTGACCAGTCCATTGAGTTACAATATTATAATAATAATAATAATAATAATAATAATAATAATAATTATATCTTAATGGCTCTGGCCCTAAAGAAATAAAAAAAATATTTGTAAATTGTCATTTTAAACTTAATTCTTTTCTTTTCTTTTTCAGCACTGCATCTAATAACAGAAGTTACTTAAGAACTATTAAAAATATTTAATTGTTAATCTCCATTGCCCATTTTATTTATTTCTAATACACACGTTCACATTCCCAGGTCGTCAAATACAGAAGTAGTAGATTACTTTATATTAAGGGTTCACGTGATGATTGCAATCGAAACAAAGTGCAGGACATTTGATAATATAATGTATTATACAGATAACTTTCATACATATTTAAGCATGTAATGTCCCTGTGCTATAAACCCACCATTAATGACACAGGGGACACGCTCACTTCATTTATATCGGTTTTCAGTACCCTGAACTCAGAGCAGAGTAAGACCTCCTCATTCCTCTTTACTCTCTGAATCAGCTGACGCGTCCAAGGCTACCGGAAGCAGCCAGGTTAGCATTGACAAGAAATGGCGGCCTCTAGTGTTAGGAGAACAATGGTGCAGAAGGCTCACAACCATTGACAGTAAATCAAACATCTCATCTGCGTCACAAGTGGCGGATCTATCTGTCCTCATTTAAAGGATTTCAGTTTTGGTAAACAAAACAGAACAAAAAATGCTTATGTCATCGTGATGATATGAGGTCATGATGTGGAATAACGACATATATATTTGAATTACGTATATATATTTTCATATCAAGTACTTATTAAAAAAAACATGCTTGTAAATGGAAATGACAAATTAAATAAAAAAAGAGTCCATTACTAGTTCTACATTCACAACTTTACTTTATTAGTGGAACATTATAGTGGATTATATTATATCATGTCTATCATAGGCTGTATGTCTAAATACAAGAAATGAGTATTGATAAGTGAGAAATAATAACAATTGAAATAAATACTACAATATTTCCCTCTGAAATTAAGTATACTTTAGTGATAAAGTAGCATAAAGGGGAAATACTTATACTTATTATACAGTATTTGAGTAAAAATACTTTCTCCCTTTTTCTTCTTTCTTGAGTCCTTTTTCTCAATGACTGACTGCAAGTATTTTTTATAAATCGTGAAGTGACATCATTAAATGTCAGAAGTCACTTCTGGGTAACTCTAATTTGAAATAATTGAACATTTTTAATTCAGCTTAAAATAAATAATGTCCCTGAACATCTTCCCCTCAGCTCATACTTACATCCTTTTATAACTTACTGCAGATGACACCTCAACTCAAGAGATTTAATTACTACACCAGGGGATCCCAAACTTCTCCATGCCAAGGCCCCACATAGCACTAGCTGAGAAAGATTGGCAATACAGCAAATAAAACAAAACACATCTGAATATATTTCCTTACTTTATTAATGCAATAATTATTACTTATTTGTACTGAATTTAAAATCGTAAATCATTCCATCAGCTCTGCTGCTATCAAGCTGTCTATCTAGCTAAATGTGAGCAGCAGAGCCGCACTGTGCCGGCCACAGACCGTTACTGAGCCACACACTGACAGTTATGAGACGGCTGATGTTTTGACTGGCAGGCCATTAGAAAGATGGGCCTGGCAAATAAGATTTCAATAGGTTATATATTATTCTGAAGTTTAGTTCAGCGGTTCCCAACCATTTTTCTTTAATGAGCCATTTTCTATCATTGACTAAACTGATGACCCCTTACTAAATTACATATTTTATTTATATTTTACATTATTTATTAATGCATAACAGTAACAGTAGAGAACAGCTGATAAACTGTAAACATTTAACACAATAACTGCAGGAAGTTTGTGTTAAATTATTGATTTGGATGAATTTTAACAGTTTATTTCTTGTGAATATTACATCAGAGATCAGTTTTCCTGATATTTTAGGAACGTTTTATACAGTTATGTCTGTATTAGGTATTTCAACAGGTTTAAACAATCATACAGACTTCTTTGGCTTCTTTTAGGACAAAGTCATTGTTTTCTTCTCTCCGACATATCTTCTATTAGCTCTTTGCTTGTTATAACTGCATACTTTTTTATTGCAGCACAATGAGATATAGACCTACTGTGTATATTTTTAAAGTTTTCCTGCATGCTTTAACATCAAGAAGGACTCACGACCCCCGTGAAGCTTTGATGACCCTTAGTGGGGGTCCTGGCCCCTAGGTTGGGAACCACTGCTTAAGGTGGTGCAGTTGAGCTTCTGCCAGTTTCACATTTGAGCTTTTCTGCAGGAAATGTATTTTCTAGTCAAGCATATTATAATTGGTGGCAACCCTGTAGATGCCCCCCTTCAAGGAACCATGGATATCCATACATAGGACATTCATTACCCCCTGGCCTGTCACATATTGAGAATATTTGTTCCCCAAATGAAGCCACCCAGGCAGCACTTCCTTCCAGACTGCTGATAAATCCTGCTTCCTTCAGAAGTACAGGCAACCATGACACTAGAAAACCTGACAAAGTATGTGAGTGGTAGAGAACTGGGTACAAAGCATGGGAGGGATTCCTAAGAAAGCCTAAACTGAGGGGACATAAGTCTCTTAATCTGCCAAATATAGGTCAAGAGATTCTACATAAGCAGTCATTCATTGGTGAGAGACTGGGACAAAATGGCAGAGAAATATTTCACGTTTGGTTGTAAAATATCTCGTATGTTGCTGACAGCTCGTGCGTCAAATAAATGAAAGGACGGAGCTCAGTGATGACAGACACGGAAAGATAAATTAGGAGAAAGTCACAGAAAATTTTAACATCTTTCTTTTTTTACTGTCTTGAAAATGTCGAAATCTGATTGTCTTTACATAATATTACATTGCATATACTGTAGTTCACCACACATCCTGCAGCACACAGGAGAAGTCATATTTTAGTAGAAAACATTTTGTTTAACTCATGAGAATAGACAAACAAAACTAAGCAACAAGTGAAGAGAAATTAAGACATAAATGATGTATAAAAGGGATGAAAGTAGCAAAGATGCAAAGCTTTAACGAAGTAAATCTTTATCTGTACTTGCAGCGAAAACAAAATGCACACATACGGATATTCTGATAAAGCCAGTTGGATTAGATGAGGGCGAGCCAAAATAATAACAGCAAATTAGCAATAAAATGCAATAAAACTCCTGTTTGCCAGCAGCTGGCATAGGAAATAGGAAAAAGCTATTTAATAAGACAATTTGTGTCAAAGATTTGGTCTAAAGTCATTACTGAAAAGAAATAAATCATGCAATTTTTTTTTACTTTTTCAAAATGTCTCTTTGGATGCTACAGATCATTCTAAGAAGCAGTATGATATACATTAGTAAATAAAAATGATGATTAATCATAACAAAACATGTAAATGTGTGTATGGCAAAGAGGTTTACAATCAGAATTCAGAGGTACAAATTCATTTCTTTGGCATGAAATTCCTCAGGCTGTCATTGGTTACTAGCACTACAACGGGAAAGATAAAAACAGTCTTGAAATAAACTGCTATAAACAGCCATGCACGTCTTTAAAAAATATATATTCAGAGAGGAAAAGAGTTGTAAACGCTGTCAACGTTAAGGCATTTCTGGTTGTGAGCAGCAAGCACTTCATTAAAGAGCAAAGCTTGGACAGCTAGATCATTTTATTTTCTGTAGTCACACTGCTCTGAGGAGGACCAGGGATGGGAAGAGCTCTACACTTTTACAACATCTGAGGTAGACAGTGTCACAGGTCTGCAGAGGAAACATCATTGACCCACAGGAACTCAATGTTTTATCCAAAAGGTCTCTGAGTTTTCCAACAGTGACGGATTGATGAGTCACTTCCTAACAGATGGTTTGCTGACACTACCTGTAGGTTTCAGGGAGACGTATATGACAGCAAGAAAACAGGGTGAATTCACTTTCAGCCATTTTTCATTTCAGCACATTTTGGTCGTCAGTAAATTAAATCAAGGATCTGGGCAAACGCCCGTCAATTACAGCACGACATTCTCCACAAAAACAACAAAATAAATACAATATGAAAACATAAAACAAACACCTTCCTACTGAAGGTCAGTGAACTGGGTACACAGTTAATTATTAGCCTGACTGAACTCGACTAACGGTCACATAGTCAATGATCAGTCAAACTCGTGTCCTCAGTTCCATTTCAAATAGCGGAGACTAGATACTGTAGGTAAATGTGTGTGGTGAAGAACTCCATATGCACCAGTATTTTATTTATTTTTTGGTCCTTTTGAGAGGTCATTCATCCAAGCAGGTTGTTGATAGGCATGGGACGATATGAAAATGTCACGATTATCCTGGGCAAAATAATTCCTGATATTATCCCGATAATCATCAAAATGTAATTAAATTTTTTTAAATGGCACTAAAACATACTGGAATTACTTATAATCTACTTATACTTATATCGCATCACAAATAAGAAACCTCATCTCCCAGTCGTTCTTAATTTGGAATCCATAGTATTTCCACACATCTGGGAAACCGAGCCTTATAATGGGCGGAAAGATGTGAGCTCCCCCTTGTGGCAATTCAAAATAAATCAAGAAATCAATATCGGACTGTACATTAGTGAGCTAGACAGCTTTTTCAAGTCACTTGTGTCTATATTCACAATTATACGCGACACGCGATAATATCGTCCCATCTCTAGTTGCTGACACAGTGACTGTATGACCCGGACCGCGTCGGCTACTGGGCAAACTTCATTTTCTTGTCTATACTAGGAAGCATATGAGCTTCTTTACACTTTAACCAGAGGCCCGACCAAGTAACTTTATGTTGCACAATCAAAGTATATACGGAAAATACTGGACCAAATTACATAGAAAAAATATCAACTTTTAAAAAACATGTGTCGCCACTGGTTGTTTTAAAAGAAATACTGCTTAATGTCAATACTATATTCAATTATTAGACATGTACACAAACACAATGTTAATATGTTCCTTATGAATCAATATTTAGGTTGTACTTGTGCTGGCTAAGAGTTTAGAGGAATAATTTGACATTTTGGGAAACATGCTTACAAGACTCCAGGAAGTCGGACACATAATCCCTCCATAATACCACAATTTGTGGCTTTTATGTTAATTATTTTCTATGGATTATACAATTTTAGTGTTAATTAGTGAGCTTTAGAGGTGCTGGAAGTCTAATATAATAGCCTAGCAGTTTCCACTCTTAGTGCTAAGCTAACTGGCTGTCATTTAAGGGGGTAGATATGAGAGTGGGGTCGATTGTCTAATTGTGAATAAGCGTGTGTCCTAGAAAGTCAAACTATTCCTTTAAAGTTATCACTGTAATAATAACGTTGCCGTTGTTGTTGAACCCTGTCGAGGTTTCTCAGACACACGGTTCAATTACAAACAGCCTCTCTGCATGAATATTTTGTTTGTACTACTTAATTAGTTTGTGGTCATTTAATTAAGCACTTTTTTAGGGATATACACCATGTCAGCACAATATAAACTTCAATAATAAATGCCTTAAATGTGGATTTCACCTCGGATCCCCTACACACAATGGGACCCCAGTAATCCCTAAGGTGGCTATCACTTCAGTTCATACTGTGCTTTAGTGGTGCATACAGTATAACCACAATCTTAATGCAACATGGTAAACCTGGATTGGGGTCTGTGGCCCTGCCTTGCCAGGTTGGTAATCCTACCTTGGGTTGAGTCAGTTGTACAAAAGATGAGACTTGATCCAGCCTGGGGGGACCGAGCTGCATGTCTGAATGTAAAATCATTGTACTTTTAAAGCCGCTTCCCGTGAAGTGTCTGGGCACCTTCACAGCTGATCCCAGAGCTTCATGACTAACACTAAATCTCTCAGAACATTCCTCTGAAGAGATAGCTCCTGTCCCTTTAGATTACTATCAACAGATTACCCCCAGTATTTACAATTTTGCTATGCTCTAAGACCCCTGTCTAATGGGATGCTGGAGACAATAAAGATGGCAGGGTTAAGGAGACATCTTTAGCAGACCAGTTGGGTTTGCTCTTACGCAAAGCAGAGATACTGATTGAGGCTAAATCAAGTTAAATTCCCATATATTTCTTCTATAATCCAACATGTTCTTTTTATGCCATATTCCTACATCTAAAAACATATGGTAGTGTTGAAGACGGATTGTAAAGAATAAGTTCACCTTTCCCTTAAGAATGCCATCTGAAAGTGTTGGTTTTGGTGGAGACACTGGCTAAAGACTGAATGAGCAGCTTTCACACTGCGTTTATAGTAAGCGCAGCATGCCTTCGTTCCCTTGTCTCATCTCCAAATACAAAATGTGCAAATGAAATGTGCAAATGAAAATGGAGAAACCATTTTCATTTGAAACTTCAAGTTTTCTCTAATTGAACAATCTAATGCATAGTTCTTCAGGATCACATTCACGTCTCTATCTGATATGTTTCATCGCTTTGGCATTTTCCGACATTCTCCCACAGAAGGCAGACTTTTACAATCTTGGCTATAAACACAGATTGTGTATCTCAGCAGTCTCAGTCTGACCCTGTGTGTCTCTCTTTTAGTCTGTTTCAGCGGGGTTCTTAGAGGACGGACTCTCCAATTTTGCGTTGTGCGTCTTCCTGAGCCTTCTCATGCTCTATCATCTTCTGGCTGACTTCCTGGTCTCGGTTCAGGGCCGCCTCTTTCTCCCTCCTCTTGCGCCTGGCCTCCACCCACGGTATCAGACACAGCACAGCTCCTCCGATGATCGGTGGAATGCCTGCCAGGTAGAAGGCTACATCGTAGCTGCCCAGTCTGTCCCTCAGGAAGCCTGTAACCAGAGGAGACAGGGAGAGGAAAAAATAAGGGATGTTATTATGATTCTGGCTGGGCTCAGAAAAAGGGGAGACAAAGGCATGACACATTAAGGTCACAGGTCATCAACACTGACCTTACTGGTGCCTGTGAGGGTCACTCAAAAATGCTTAAAAACACTGTAACATGCATTTCAATATTTTAGAAAACCTGTGGTGAAATCATCCCCGAAGGACCAAAAATAGTTAAGTTCTGACTGGATCTCTTACCAACTCGTCCCTCCCTAAAATAGTTAGTTTTTATTAGTTGAAAAAAAGATTTTGTCATCATAAATGAGTTTTTATTTAGTTATTGTCTAGTGTTTGTCAGTGAAAAAATGTTGTAGGAGCTGACAGGAGGGGTCTCCACTCTCATGTTCATGTCTGTCTTTACAGCTCTCATACAAAGATTTTACATGCACTGAAGTAACCTGCAGAAAGCTGAAAATAACCTGCGGTCTTAAACATTGTGTCAAATAAGAGACCCAGTTCCTATAATAGAGGAGCCTGATTTTGCCAGCTGGATTTCTCCAGGAGAAAGATGGAACTGGATTTCTAACATGTGCACATGTGCACGACAGAGACTTAAGACTTAAGGAATGCTAAGTGAGCCCTGTCTGCAAAATCATAAAATACTTTCTCTTATGTCAACAAATTGTTGTTTGCTTATTTTACCTGCATAATTATATTCCTTCAACTTAGTTTCACACCATATTTCACCCCTGGTCATCCCCCCCCCTGCAGTGGCCCTATGCCCCACCAGGGGGTCTGCCCCACAGTTTGAGAATTACTGAGCAAAAGGGACATTCAAGCCCTGTATCTGCAAGCATTCACTTTGATGAAATTTCATTGAACAACTCTGACTCTGTCTGTGTAGCTGAACCTGACCTGTGACCTTTCTGGAGGGGGAAGTCAGAAGAGTTGAACAAATAGTCACACATGCTGTATCTTCATACATTAATTCCTCAAGCCCTCTGCATGTGACACTCATATGAACTGATTTCCATCCTGGGAAAATGTAGACAATGCAGTGTTGAAGAGGTCATGTATTTCCCATGGAATATGGACACAAGTGTTAGCATACAGTATGTGCTTCTAATCTGCACCCTACACATTTGGCAACTATTCAATTCAATTCAATTCAGTTTTATTTGTATAGGGCCAATTCATAACAGAAGTTATCTCAGGACACTTTTCAAATAGAGCAGGTCTAGACCGAACTCTTTATAACATTATTTACAGAGACCCAACCGTTTTGGCAACTACAAGGTGCCGAAACGAACACTAGGTGGTGCAAAAGACCAACAGATCTAAAGATGACTTTTCTTCTTCATCTAAGGACAAAGATTAAGAGCTTTACTAGAATGCTGCAGGAATGCTTTTTGTCTGACAGTCAGACAGACAGACAGCCTGTTTAGAGGATCAGAGGTCAAATCCCATGTTCCCTTTTTAAAATTGCATCTTCAGTATAATAATACAATTTGTCATTTTATTTGTGAAATCTACTAGAAGAAATAGTTGGGAATGATAAAGAAGAAGGTAAAGAAAATAAAATGAAATATTTATTGCTGCAGCGTTAAAAGTAATTTATAGAAAATGGTTAAAAACAACAGATGCAGTAAATTACTAAAGAGATTCACGATAACTATGCAAAGGCTGACTTTACAAAGATAGATATGAGATGAACAATGAAAATGACAGCTGGGTTGCTTTCTCCCTCACTCACTATTGAGAGCTACATAAACATTTTCGTCTTTTCAACGACTGTGATGTAGATGTGATGGGGCCTGGCAAAGGTGTTCTGAATTATTAAAAAATTCTAATGAAAGTTAAGTATAGGCAAAGCTTCTTTTCTCTGTTTTGCCTCCACAGAGAGGTCAGAGGTCAGGGTCAGCTACAGGACTTGCTTGAGAAGTTTGTAAATGTACTAAACCACCATGCTTTACTCAAATTTAAACACAGTGAATATTCAGTTACCTGCGATGGGGGGTCCCACAGTCATGGGCACGGACATCAGGCCCAGCAGGAAGCCGATAGCCTGGGACACATCATCTGCCCCAACGAGCTCAAAGGCAATGGGGGCCATGATGCAGATGAAGCAGCCGTCGAACAGCCCCATCAGCAGGCATACGGCGATCAGCCCGCCAAAGACGTGGCACAGAGGGATCATCATGGACATGAGGCCGATGACGAAGAAAGAAGTCACCTAGAGGGACAACAGAGAGGAGAGTATCTACATGAAAACTCTTCATTTGATGGTCTGATAATCTTCATGTAGTTATTCTTAATCTTCTTGAGTTTCCTGAACAGGTACAGTTTTACTGTACTAGTCCAGGTTAGTTTAGGTTTCAGTAAAGTATCACATGATCATCTAAATGCAGTTTCAGAGAGTTTTCAGTGTTCAAGTCTTATCTACGAACTATCTTTTACTGCCAGATAGTGTTTGCATTTTTCATACTCTCACTTAATTGCTACTTTACTGCTATCTTATTTATTGCTTTATTTTTTAAATTTATATTGCTTTTATTGCTGCAAACTTAATTTCGTTAAACTTGTACTGTACATTAGTGCAATGACAATAACGATATTCTTTATTCTCTTGTTAGTGGTATTGAAGCCACTGACCACAGGGACACCAGGATCTAATGGAACCCAGGTGACATTTGCAGGTATGTTTGCATGCTGTTTAATGTGCTGCAGTGGCGCAAGTAATTAGCTATTTAGCCACTGAACTGACATTAGTTGTACACTTTTTGCCGGTGAATGTTTGTTTGGGGGCTCGTTTAACAAGTGAAGGCTCAGAACAAGACGTGTGTTCATGTTTGTAAGACAGATAAGAAGGAGACTTGTTAAGCTAAAATGTGTTGTTGTTCAAAGTCTGTAGCTCTTGATGTGTTGTCTGGCTCAGTGTGAGCATCTGCTCTACTCTTGATAGTACATTGATGTTACTGCTTTATGCAAAATAAGGTCTCTATGTAGATATCAGCATTGGTTGATTTATAAACAGCTTTACTATAAAAAAAAATTAGCCTTCAAAAGCATGGTCAACTACTATTAGAAAGGACAGAGGTGACAACCACATCACCTGATAGTTTAGAGACCCGGCACTCACCTGCAGGTAGACTTTGTTGACTCCATTGACATAGTCTGCCACCCTGCCAAAGATGAGACGGCCCACACAGGATGTGATGCCGATACACATGAGCAGAACTTCTTTATTGGCATCAACTCCAAAACGCTCCTCCACATGCTTCATCTACGGACAAAAAAGGACACATGAACACAGCTCTAATCCAATATAACACCCGTTAAAAAACAATGTTAAAAATGTTAAATAGGTACAGCAAATACAACTGAAAAGATTGACTGAAAACAAATTATATATAAATAAACAAAACATGGTAAATATCTCAGCATATTGGATAGTAAGGGTAGTGGCAGCAGGGTGGTCGTACAGTAAATCTCCATATTTAATCCAGTGTATACAGTACAGTGGATTGTCTAATGTATAAAGCTCTGTTCCTGGGGTTTAATATGAATTTTGTCAGACAATGCTATCTAATCAAATTCCTTAATGTTTATAATGCTGTACTGTACTGATTTCTATTAAGGGCATAAATTAGCAACATCAAAGCTTTGTGTGTGTGTGAAATGCTTTTAATCCAAATCTGAATCCAAATTCGGTTTACTGCCAAGTAGGTTTTCACATACTAGGAGTCTGATATTTGATTATTCAGTCAATTTAAATCAATGAAAAGAGGGGAGATCCTTTTTCCATGTTGAGAATGTGACACTTTCATGGACTGCTCAGTGTTCTGCATACTTTCTGCAGAAATCTGGTTGTAATTGTATATGAGGTTTTCAGGCCAACTTCCATTAAAGTTCACAGTTTTCCAAACAGATTGGAGTCCTGCCAGCTACTTCTACCTCCAGGCAGATTGCAGCAGTCCTGCTCAAAGGCTCTGCCTGTCTGCTGCCTCCACCCCCACACCCCTCCACCCCCTACCACCCTGCAAATCACACTTCCATCTGCAAAGACCTCCGGATGACTTATTGTCTTTGTCATTACACCACAACACCATTCTCTGTGTTTAGGAGTGTGATGCTCGGAGGGGATTCCTGCATCCAAGAGGCAGTGCTGCAGGCATAACAACTGGAGGCTCAGTGTGTGTGTATGCATACAAGCATCAGCAGAATAACTGATGATACACACACACACAATCGAGGCTGGGTGGAGGTTTTCAGAGACATGCCAGATGTGACTGGCATTCTCCCAGCTGGAGTTTTGTTTGAGAGGTTCACATGTCACATTTATTACTCCCTCTTAGCTTATCATTACCATCAAGTAGGGCTGCAACTAAGGAATTTTTACGATTAATCAATCAATTGTTCCCAAGTGATCCCAATGTGATGTCTTCAAATGGTACAAAACCCAATGACTCTACATATACATACATACATGACAAAGGACATCCTCACATTTAAGAAGCTGGAACCAGCAAATGTTTGACATTTTTGCTTGAAAAAGGAACCACAACAATTAATCGATTAACAAAAAAAAATAATTCTATGGCTTTTCAATCGACTAATCAATTAATCGATAAATCCATGCAGCTCAGGCATAAAGCAGCAAGTAGATGATAATAAGGGCTGCTAATGAATTAAGAATGTTTGAAATTTTTTATCAGTTTTCTTCACCAGAAAATTATTGTATACTCTATATTTTAGGCTTCTGATCTAACTAATGGAAAGGGGTTGCTGTGTTACTGGTACCCCAATTTTAAAAGCAGTTTATCCGTTTCATTCTCCATAAAAAGACGTTTTATGGTCAAGAATTCGAAGATATCATTCATTATTGCTCAACTCTCCTAAAGCTTTGTGCAGATGTGAAATTTATTGCTTCGGTTTATCTTTGTATATTCTCTTGAGAAGGAGACAGATGGTTTTTGTAGGAATCCACTGTGGTGCAATGTATTGATGACTATATCAGTCAGCCACGGTACACCATGATCAGGTCAAGTGGATCAGGGAGCCAAGAAGCAAGAGAACACAACAGACAAGGAAAACCCCCACACACCTACTTCCGCCCTTGATATCTTATCTGTCTGGTTTGCTAGATGTATTAGACAGGCAGTCCCTCTGCTGTGACGTCACACAATCTATAATCCCTCTGTCATAGCGACCAGCTGGGTAAACGCTGCTGGATGTTTCAGAAGACATTTCCTACTGAACACTCTGACGCATTCACACACTGCATATGTCTGTGATGTATTCGAGACCTCCTGTTGCAGTGCAGTGCTATTTGCATCTTTAAACAGATTAAGTGGTCCTGTAGATTCAGCACTGCTGATCTTGCTTCACTCCTGTTGCAGGCTGTATCCTGTTAGTGTTTATCATGGAGCTTTGGCATTAAAACATGAGTTGATCAACCATAGCTAGCAATCAGGTCTGTCCCCAGTCTACTGCACACTGTCTGATGCAATTGTCCACCAATCCCTTCATTTTGGCCAGACCAAATTTCCAATTTGTGGAAAGGAAAATTCGATTTAAATTGATCGATTGAGCACCAAAGATTGCTTTTTGGGGTTGTGTATGTGTCTTTGATCACGTTTTCAGGAACACAAGCTCGCTCTCATGTGATGCAATTCAGAGGCTGGTAGGTGGCCTTGTGGCAGAGAACATCGTAAACCTACACTCACTCACTCACACAAGAACACACACATGAATTCAATGCAGGCAGAGCAGGACAAGTTTAACTGCTCTTTAGCTCTATCTCTTTTCCTTGGATCACTTTTGCTACGCTCGATCACTACCTACATTTCCCATTATGCATCTGACATACAGAACATGCCTGAACGTTCTGTAATCAGCATGACTGATTGTAACAGCGCTGCCATAGTAAGAGAGAGTGAAAAACATCTCAAACAAACAGCAACATGTATTGTAGCTGCAATGTATTGTGGTCTATTGAGGCTGCAAAATTACAATTTTAGAAGGAAGAGGAAGCATTCTGATACTCAAAGGATTGATTGTTTCTAGCGGCCACTGTGGACAAAAGCGGTAGTGTTTCCACCGCCTTGTTTCACTGATTTCAAGGGGAATCCCAATTATATGACAGGCATTAAGAATGACTACATAGAAATAGCCAATCTTATCGCTGATGGTATTTTTGTTTATGTAGGTCATATAGCATCAAGACTGTTTCATAACCAGTTAAAAACTCCTTGAAGTAGGTTTGATTAAATATAAGGCTGGTCCTATGAAACCCCATGAAAAGACCAAAACCAACAATCATTATAACATAATGTTATTAGTAACACCCTTGGCTTATAAAAATCTAGTTGGAATTAACATGCTACATTAAATGAAACACAGGAATAAAGAAAACTAAATAACAAAATGGCACCTCAGAAATACACTCAATAGCTGCTTTATAGTGTGTTTTGGGGTGAATTTTTCCTTTCAGACCCCCCACTGTGCAACAAACCACATTCTCTCTGCTCTCTCCTCTTGGCTGTTTAATGGTCATTAAACCTCCAGCTCCACTCAAGCCCACACACCGCAGCCCTGCAGGTGCTCCTCATTAAACCAACCGAAACAAGCTTATTTTTAAAGTAGAGGCAGGTTTCTAAAGAGAGTATCGTTCTGTAAGCTGCGAATGGGAATGATTTAGCAACACCAATTCAGCAATGGGATGACATGCATTAATTGTCTGGCCGATAAGATCAAACTTTAAATGCAAATTCTTTTACCACTCTGCCCTTGACAATGCACTACCACACCGTTTATCAGTCAGCTTACAGAGCAAACACTGCCATTCCTTAAGGCCAGAATCTTATCTCAAATCAGCAGACAACCTACACTGGACTTTACTCTTTTACAGCCTTAGATATGTGCATCTTGATTTGGAAAGAGAAAAAACACACACGGTACTGTGGCAGCATGGCTCTAAAAGGCTGAATCAGCATGTGCACAGAGAAAGAAAAGTTGAGTTGTTTCGAGGGCCTGATAGGACTCCCTTCCTGAAAATGTGAACAATATGCTGTTTGACCCATGTTTTTTCCTTTTTCTTCTTTCCATGCAGCGTCACATTGCAGTGGCCTGAAGTGCAGGGAGGGAGGGGGGTCCTGTGTCTTAGGAAGGACGGGTGCTGGGGCTATAAGGCCACAGGTGGCGCTGAGGCTGCAGCCTGGCCCCTGTGGTGTTCCAGTCTGAGTAGCAGACACAGGAGAAGTGTTGGGAAAACAAAGGCTATGATCCCCGGGACAGGCTGACGATATCCCTCCAATAACGGTCATCGTGTCCAAATAAACAGTCACCCCTTCAGTCTCACCAACACATCCAGTCTCTGCTCCCTAGCCCTCCCAAGAAGAGATTTTCTCCAAAATCATATTTTCCCATCTTGTAGCCGAAATACAGGGCGATTCAGGGAAAGTGAAACCTGTTTACAGAACTGTGTCTTGACTGAAATGAGAGCTGCAGATTGAATCTTCTGCTCATATTTGGTTACATTCACCAGGACCACACAGCTGTAGTATCTCATGTGGACACATGCTGCTGTGACGTACAGTTTGTGTGATAGTCACGTTAAAAGCTGCAGGCTTTAGTATATAAACAGTGAGACTCAGCATGAGAGTCTCTGCTTTTGGTTGGAGTATGTTCCATTTAGATGCCAACAGATCAACGGGTTAGTTCACCCAAATTACAAAATTACCTCCCTCTAGTGGTAAGTAGCCATTCAGATGGTTTTGGTTTTATTTGTCCCGATTTGGGATATCTGCCTCCACCCAAATAAAATGGAGCTCAGTGGAATTTAGTTGAATAATGGTGCTCACAGCACTCGCCCTTTAATGCTGCAGTGAGTAACTTTTATAAGAATCACTTTTTTTCATATTTGCTTAAACTTTTACTATATCCTCACAGTAGTAGATGAAACAGGTAATACATTGTATCACGTTCCTCTGACTCGTTTCAGTGCTCCTAATGGCATTTGCAAGAACCTACCGTGCCTGAACGAAAACAACTAATCGTATAATTATGTCAAACGAAGAAGAAGAAGACTGTGGCACAAACACCAAGCCCCCAGGAAGAGTGCTGGGCTTTGAAGCCAACCTGACATAGTGGTCAAACTGTGTAATTACAGTAATGCCGTCCGTCACACAGTTCACACTGGCCCCAAAAGTATTTCCCCCATAAGGTTACATTGTGAAAGAAGTGGTTGCAAATTGGTGGATACATTTATTTTACAACCCCTGTGAAATGCTTCCTTTTACTATCTGAATGGGATAACATTTCGAAGAGCCTAGAAGAGCAATGTTTAGAGAAGGATCAGGTGAAAGGGCAGCCCAGGGATTTGTTCATTAACACGCCAGAAACACAAAGCATAATAATGCAGCTCTGCACAGATGACATCCTTCATAAAGACAAAATCAATTCTCTAACAAGAATTCACATAATGTTCCTGCTTTGGTTCATTTGTGCGCATGAATTATGAGAATTACGAGACTCGTTTTATTGACACTGTGTTCAGCATCATTTCTCTGGAAATTAGACTTTTGAAACAGAACCAACAAAACAAAAATATAATTTCAGTGTAAGAGCATTTAAAAGAAAGGCAAAAACCAGCAGAATTATGAAAAGAGCAGTGTGTTCTGAGTCACAGAAAGTGTCTCAGCAATTACAGTAGTTTTAGTCTTTGTGAATGACTGTGATATATATATATGTGTATATGTGTGAGGTATTCTTATATAGACCTTCCTAATGGGCAGAGACAACCTTGTAAACTGTATGTTCCTAAAAACTAAAGTACACTTTAAAAGTCATAAACCTTCCCATGGTAACTGTCGTACTCCCCTCCCTCTCCCTTCCTCTTCACACGAATAAACCTCACATTGCTAGCATGTGTTTTGAAATCTGTGTTGTTGAATCTCCCTAGCTGACCTCTTGCCCTTATTCCTCCCTCGTGCCAATGAACACATTCAAAACATGAGATTAGGATACTGGGAAATCACACCATGGAATCCCTCTGTTGGCATTTACATGCTGCTATTCCTCATCAGACTGACCTATGGCCCAGACCGTGTGGCGACGATACCCAGCAACACAAACCAGACGGAGTAAGTGTGAAGCTCGGTGAAATCAAATATGATTCAGAGAGTGAAGAAGTATTTAGAAAACACCAACTTACCAGGTGAACATAAGGCACAAAGTAGCCATAGAGGGCTGCGGGGATACCAAATGCCCAAATGCGATATCCCAAAGACTTCCAGATATTGATGTTGAAGATCTGGCTCAAGGGTGGGCACCGGCTGCCTGTGCGGGTGTTTGAGGGTTTTACCGGCAGCAGGGGCTTGTATGTGAAGCCGGCCAGCATCAGCACAAACATAAGGATGCAGAGGACGCGCATGGTGTTCTGGAGGCCCACTTTCTCCAGGAGGCCCGACAGCACGAAGGGCAGGGTGATGGTGAAGATGCTGCTGCCGGCGGTCACAATGCCATTCACCAGGCCCAGGCGCTTCTTGAAGTAGTGACCGAGGATGACCAGGCTGGGCTGGTAGGCGAAAGAGCAGCCGCAGGCGAACACAATGCCATAGGTGAAGTACATGGGCCCCAGGGACCTGTGAGGAGATACAACAAGATACATCACTATACAGCCTTTGATTCACTCACTGCTGACATTAAGGAATTTCCAGGACAAAAATGAATCCCCAAGATGTCTTCCAGTAAAGAGCCAGCTATTATTGATTTGCATTTGTGCTCTTAAAAAGGTTTTCATAGCACTGGCTGTAGGAAAAGTTGTCAAACCTCTCTAAAGAAAGGCCTGTGAGCTTTTTATACAGGCTCAATTTGGCCCTAGGAACTCAACCAACTCCAACAACAAGATTAAGCAAGTAAAAACATGTTTTACTATGGTTGTTCTTTGCTTTTTTCATTATCCGCACATTAAAAGATTGTATAAATAATTATTCAATAGGAAAAATAAACTTGTTTATTGCTGTTGCAAATAAATGATTATTATTATTAAATATGGGGTAAAGATAGAGAATAGTTCTTATCCACCAACAGCTCAAGTAAAGCTGTTCAGTTGCCAGCAGCAGAGGATCATGGTTTTCTTGATCCCTTTGATGTATACAACCATAGAATCAAACTGCTTTTGATACCCCTTGTCATAACATTTAGTTAAACAAGCTGCTTTGTATGGGTATTGATGATTCCGCTTACAGCTGCTTCAAATCATATCTTTCTGCTAGAGCTCAAGTCCCACAATTGTTGATAAAGGTGTTCCTCAAGGATCAGTATTAGGTCCCTTATATACATATTGAATTTTGATTTGATTTACTACTTGACTCCTAATTAGTTGTAAAAGACATCTTTATCTCAATGAGAATAAATACAGCTTTAAAAACACAGAGATCAGATCAGTCCACATCAGATCTCTATGGAAATACACCACATACAAAATAAACATGGACATACAGGATTGCGCTTCCAAGTGGTTGCAAAGTCCTCTTTGGAGTAAATAAATCTGCTTTAGAAAATAACTTGCCAACAGTGAAATCACATGACTAAGAAATTTTGCACCTTGCACTGTCTTCTACAGAACCCGGCTGTCAGCAAGTTTTTAGGTTTGCAAGCTGTGTTTGTGAAATGCTGTTACTTGATAAGCAGTAATTGTTTCATAACCTATTTATTGCACTTTTAAAGTGATAACAAAGAGAGGGTTGAGCCCTTACTGCTCTGTTTGGATCATACATTTCTGTACGTTTGTGTGAGTGCCACCTCACATGTAGACGAGTATGGAATTCCAGGAAATTATTAACAACAGAGTGTGAAGTACAGAGCCTCTTACCAACAGAGCCTTGATAAAAACTAAAATGAGTAGGCCTTGTTCTGTGAGATCACCTCACACCCCCCATTAAGTTTACTTACACCTACACATTCCTTTTTATTTCTATAAGTATATAAAAATAAATAAATGTATTATGACACGTGTGTGACACATTACACACCCTAATGTAGGCATAGAGAGGCATAGAGAGGCATAGAGACTTTTTGTGTGGTTATTAATGTATCTGTCAACAGCCATAACTGCTCCTTTATAACCCCTATATGATCCTTTTTTTCCCTTACTATTCCGTTAAAGTTTGACAAATAAATCTCGCCATAAGAGCTGAAGAGCTGTTCTGGAGCTTTAACTTGTATTACGTGATATTCCTCTGCAGATGGAGTTTGCCCAGTTGTTGTGGATTGTAGAGATTAAAAACTCATTCTTGGTTCGAGCTCATACTGGCTCGATATTTTTATGTTCTTCATAGCGATGAAACTACAGAGAATTATCACCACTCACCTTGGCTTTACCGAACTATCAGCCCGTTTAGCTGTTTGGCCAACAACTTTACTGTTTTGGCTCATTCAATATACCTAAACTATGAGGGGTATACTAAATATTTTGGCTAACTGATATTATTAAAGGTCAAGTGTGTAACATTTAGGAGGATTTATTGGCAAAAATGGAATATACATAGGTATGTTCTCATTAGTGTATAATCACATGAAAAAGGGAATCATTGTGTTTTCATAACCCTAGTATGAGCCGTTTTTATTCAGATGCCAGTGAATCCTGCACACTAGACCTTTAACTAAGGACTGAAGTTACTCACTACCCCAATAACCTTGTAGGTGTTAATGTATACTGTATGCAGTGGTGACATGGTGTCATTTTTAATTGAAAAGCTGATTTTATTCCTTACTTGACAAAGGAGCTGGCCAGGAGGCCGACCAGGCCGACAGCAGCACCGCCCACTGCAGTAATTCTGCAGCCGAGGACGTCGGTGAAGACGCTGACGATGGGAGAGCAGAAGAAGATCATCCCCATGGAGAGGGAGCCCACCCACGCTGCAGGAGACACAAGGAGAGAATGCAAGAGTGAGTCAATGTATGTATGAGAAAATCTCACAACAAGCTGTAAGCCAGAGTGATTATCATTTCACATTCAAAACACAAAACTGTCAGACACCAAACAAAACTGTCTCCAGGAAGACGCTCACTATAACAGAAAGCCTGGTGACGTAATACTGTTGCTCTTGTATCCATGCACACACTCTCACTGCAGCAAAATTTGCTCAGGAAACCAGTCAAGAGTTTCCTTTTTTCTACTTGTTCATAAATCACACGGTACATTGTTTGTATTTGCATCGATTTGTCTTTGCAACCTTGGTAAATGCTACGGGTTGCCTTTCCTAGACTGAACGTACAATGACTAACACCTGCAACAGCAGGAAGACACATTAGGTGATCAGGAAAACACTTCTCGCATCTCAACAAAAAGTGCAAAGGCACCATCGAGATATAATCAACCTCTTAGATTACATACTGTAACATGTTCTAATATAACCATAGACAACATTAGTAGTCTATGTAGCATACAACAATAATCTCTGTTGTGTCATGGTTAAGGGTGTTTAACCAACATAGAGGGACCCTTTAATATTGTATCTCTGGTGTACTACTTTACTTGGGCTCACTGGCCGACCACAGTAAGATTAGAATTATATTTTCTCAGACAGAAAAATAGCACTAGGGTTCAAAGTGTGTCTCTTTTTCCTCCCCTATAGTATTTCACATGTTCATGATAACCAAAGCGATTCATCTTTGATTGTGTGTTAGATCTGCTGCTAAGAAGTGTCAGTGGAGCTAAAACTCTGACCACAAGGACAACAGCAGGAAATGCTTGGTCAGCAGTCTTCTGCAAGCCTAAGGTTAAATACCACTGTCACATGCTGCAGCAGACTCTAATATATGTTAAAATGCAATGGGCACATTTAGAACGAAATAGATAGGCACACTCAGAGAATTTATATCTTTAACTTGTCCCAAGTTGTTCTTATTTATTTTAAGACAAATGGGCAGACAGGTATGTGCTGACAGACTGGAAACAACAGATATCAATCTAGAAATGTTTCATAAATAACTTATTTTAGATATATTGTTTCCGGCTTGTTTTTTCATCAAGGAAAAGAGATGGGGAGTGGAAAAATAAGTAACAATGCTGACAAAACACACAAGCACACAAATTGTGCAAGCCATAGTGCAGCGCCCTTTGACCGTAAAGAGGATGGGGAAGCCAGGAGTGAGTGACATGTTTTGGTATGAACGACTGCCCTTGGTACTTTTAGGTCTCCAATGAAATCATACACCCTATAATACATACTGTAACAGCATATTTAGGGCTGGAAATGACCACAAGGGTTAATGACACGCCTGCGCACATGACACAGCTATAGACGGAGTTGTTTTTCTCAATCCTGAAGCAAAGTCAGAAGAAACCTGTGGGAAAATGTAGAGCAGCTGGAGGTTGAGTGTTTTGTTGTCTCTTTTTTTACACTAGTAACAGGAGACCACTGTGTCAAGTTTCAGGGTTATTACTGGTTTCACTGCTGTGTCTTCATTCTCCCTGAATCTTCATCTCACCCCATGTTGTCAGAATATCATACACTCTCAGGTTGCCCCATAAGATAGATGTTATGAAGCAGTGAAGAAGCTTAAAATGAAAACACCCTGCTACCCTGACAAGATTAATCATACCTGTACTGAGACAGTACTGTCTACAGACAGGCAAGTAACTCTGTCAGGGTGCAGTACTGATTGTTAAATAAGATTAAACTGAAATAGATAAATAAAAATGTTTGTATTTATTAGCAATCCTGCCAAAGTGAATGTTAAAAAAAATTGTTGTCATGATAACATGCTTTCAATTACAGAATTAACTAGGGGTGTGAGAAAATGATATTGCACTGTTTTGTTTTCTGATATTGTATCGATTCTAAAAAACACATTATCGATTTTAACCCCTGTATCGTGTATTGTATCTGCACATTTTTGCCAATACACAGCCCAAATATTAACATGCTGATGTTTTGTTGAAAATATTTACCATGTTCACCATCTTATCCACCTTTCATGGCCATCAATTCAATAGTTGTTGAGACGATTCACTAAGAACCAAAAATGTCACACTCATAAGTAAGGATTCATCTACTGGATGTCTTGAATGTGTGCACAAAAGTTTGTGCCAAAGATAAGGACATTTCACTGGATAATAAAAACTGGGCTGCTGGTAGCATTAGATACAAAGTCAGAGGATCACCAAATTCATTAGGATACATAATTTCATGGCAATCTAGCCAGTAATTGTTGAGATGTTTCAGTCTGGACCAAAGCGGTGGACCGTCTGACTGTAACATATTTTATTCAGAGTTTGCCCCACTCTGGTTCCCCTGTGTGAGCCAACACACTGTCAAAGCTTCTTAGGATCTATTCCAGACACTGCAGTCAGAAAAATGCACCAAATTCAATGGGGTCCACTGCCTGGTCTCATATTTGTGGGCCCGCTTTAAGCTACGTAATGTAATAAATGGCAGTGAACAAGAAGGGCAAAAAATCCTTCGAGGACAACAGGAAATTGCTGTTGTGGTTTCATCTGCTGGCTCTCTCGATTTAAAAGCATTTACGCTTCAGACAAAGAGGAATTCCAGATTGAAAAATGTAATATCAGGATTCTCTCTGTCCCAGTGACATCCAACGTTAGCCGCGGGCCCTGCTTGGACACTGACAGACGAGGCAGAGTTGCCCTAAGTCGTCTGTCTGCTTTGTTAAAGACTCCTTGCTGGAAACCCCCCTGCTCTGAACCCGGTAACCCCACATTGACTGAACCTACAGCAGTGAAAACTGCACAAAGCTCTGCCTCTTGTAAACCAGACAGAATGGATTCAAAGCCAATGAATTCTTGAACTGCAGACTTTGAGCTTGAATCTTTTGTGTCCAACAGTCGTCTCATAGGTGTCCTATCAGCAGTAATCGTGATGTTTGACTCTCTTGTGCTGCAAAGAACTGTTGTTCCAAACTTTTTTTGTCTGACGAAGTACTTTTAGCTAACTATTTCAGCAATTTATTCATTACTTTCAGCTAACTATTTCAACAAAATTTCAATAATTTATTCATTACTCTTAGCTAACAGTTTTATTTATTTATTCATTCCTTTTAGCTATTAACTAAGAACACTCAACTATTTCAACTGTTTATTATTTTTAGTTTAGCTAACTAGTTTAACTGTCTATTCATTAGCTAGATGATTATTTTTAACATATTCATTACTTTGAATGGACAACAGTTTATTTATTACTTTTAGTTTAGGTAACTGATTTAACTGCTGATTACTTTTAGCTAACAGTTAAAATACTTTAATAATAGATTTTATGAATTACTTACCATTACCTTACTAACCATTTCAACCATTTTATCCACTACTTTTAGCCTACTATGTGACTATGTCTCTGCTCATTTACTAACTCACGCTCTCTTTATCTCAACACATGGTGTTATTGTGTTACAACTGACACCACAGCTGGTATCTTGGTTATTGTAAATACACTAGATCACCATTACACCATTTATTTCCTCCTAAACATAAATAGTGTATGTAGATATATTTTTTTGTCAAATCATGATTTCTATTTCTGTTAAATTAGTTTAGTAGTAAGTTGTCTGTGAACGCAACTACAGAAGTACCTCCAGGGGTCCAAGTACCACTAAGTGGCAATCACTCGCCGAGAACATCAAATAAGACCAAGTGTGTAAAGCACAGAAAGGCCCAAATGGATCCCTGATGACTTCACTTCAATTTGTGAATAGATTCGGAAAGTGTGCGTTAAAGAAGCTGGTTGAACAGTTATCTATTAACCAAAGTTAATGGAGGCAACTAATGGACGGGCATACTTGGCTCATATTTCCTGGCTTGGTCAAATAAACAGCTTGTCCCTGGAACACATTCTAGGAATCTGTTGACTAAAGATGCTCAGGTTGAAATCTAGTTCCAACTCTGAGAATGAAGACAGGCTTCATTTAACACCAGAAACCACTTAAAACTCTATGTCTGTATATCTCCCCCATGTCTCTGGCTGTTACACTGGAATAAGCACCTGAAGAGGTGGGGAAAAGGTGTTAATAAATCAACTGCTCACACTGCCAATAAAGCAGAAACAGGACCAGATGTTCCTCTGTAATGCCACATCAACCTAAGCTTTGCAGTAGGGTTTATTGTTTCACATTTTACCTGGATGTAGTTGTAAACCGGATTTTTCAAATTAAGTATTTGCTATGTAAATACTGTCAAAAGAAATCCTTAGCTCATTGCTAAATACATTATTGCTCTTGTACAGTTTTTTTTAGTATTCTTTTCTTATCATAGTTTTATATACCTATATTAATGTTATTATTTCTCTTACTTTCTATACTTTATCTGTACTTATTTCTGTAGTTTAACTGAACTTCCCCACTGGGAGTCAATAAAGGTTTATCTTATCTTACTACAGTCCATGTCAAAACTTTGCAATATACTGCATATTTATTAGATTGCACATTTCAGTATCTTAAAATATGTAAATATTTACACACTAATGCTAACAATTTCCACATAACGAAGAGTTAGCCAAAGAGCTTCTTCAGCTTACGAGTCAATTTATTTTTGTAGCACATAAAGAACTATTTAACTTTTATTTCATTCAAGTTTTCGGATATCAACTGAAAATTAGGAACATGCAGTGCAGTGGATTCCATTTGGCTTGGCTAGAGACTAATGTTTCTGCACTGAACAACTACAGCTCCCATGACTTGGACATGTCAGTTGAGTGTGTAGATGTTGAATATGACCAAAAATTTTTCGGTTCAACTTAGAATATGAACAGAAAACCCCATCATGTTTCAACTTTTCAAACAGAAACACAACAGATTAAAGATCTCTGTGCAAAGATACTGTACAATGTGGGATACAAAACAAGAGCATGAGCTATCCTACAGGTAGGGTGGCCATTTCCTTCACATCAAAAAGGAGGACACTT